ATTTTTTTGAATAGTTCTGTTAAAAAAAAAAAAAAAAAAAACACATTTTTCTTTGAATGATTAAGAAGAATTTGCCTCTTATGAACTCTAATCCTTCAATGTAGATTCTGAAGGAGAATAAAGACAAGCGCGATGCAGAATTTAATGAGCAGTTCAAACACAGTAAGTGCTCAAGTCTGTTATATGGTTTCTTTAGTGACAGTTGTCTAGTGCTACCAACTTAAAAGATCTTGATGAAGATAATGGTAAATATCTTAGTTACTGCTGATCTGGGAGCAGTGTTGGACACATGAAGCAGTTTGTTGTTGTTTGATAACTACCTGAAGAAAGAAAGAAAAAAAGAAAGAAAGAAACTTTAATTGCTAATTTACTGCAGGCCCTCCTAAAGCTTTGGATCAAGATGAAACTGAGTTACTGGACAAATTGGATATATGATTGATGCATCATAAGAACCGAATAAGAAAGCTCCAGTCTTAAAGTTCATCTACCCTTTTCAAGCTCTACTCCCTCTTCCCCCCTCCCCCAACTAACATATTCAGTAGCAATGACCTTTGCTGTTTGGTGTGCCATTGAACTATTCACCAAGTTCAGGAGGCTTGTAGTAAAGTGTTGTTGTTATTATTATTATTATTTTCCTTTATAATGCTGAACTCTCAACAATTTTGTTAATTTGATTCTTTTCATGTGTATTCAGTCAAGAAGGGAATATGCGAGACTAATGGTAGATGAAGAAGGTGAACCGCTTTGAAATTTCCAAGTAATTTTCTGTTCAAATGTTGAAATCCATGGAAGAATAACAAAATAATAGGCTATGTGATTAAGCTGTACCAGGGAAATTTCACTCTACTCAGTCCATCTCTAACAATGCTATTTCAATATTATTTTTGGTTTCCTTTTTCAGGCAGCAATAGCAGCAAAGTCAAGTGTTGTGCATGAGCTAAAGGAACCAGCAGGGGCAGCAGTGGTACAGGTTGGTCTTAAATAGCTCAGTGAACTGATTGTTAAAATAGGCAACAATACTTATCTCACAATCCACAATCCTTGATTTATTTGAAATTATTTTGCTCCACTCATCTGCATTTGAATACTGGTTGCTATAGACCTTCCATACTGTTTATGCATCCTGTCAGATATCTTTCACGTTCCACTCTGCCACTTTCCACTTAAATTTTCAAAATGTTATTCTGTATTTTGTAACTTATATTATCAAGTGTTGTGTTCCTTCCTTGGCAAAATTGAAACTGAAACTGAAACTGAAAACTGAAACAATAGATGGTGTTCTGATTATAGATTGGGCATTCCAGCATGGTTGAGTGACATCTATCTAGTTTTCAGTAGGGAAGAAGAATCCAACAGCTCAACCATTAAGCATGATTATAAAAGTGAGGCCACAAGTGAAGAAAGCAAAAACTGACCAAGTGAGTGCTGAGGAACCTTCAGTGACAGCAAGAACACCCGAAGTTGATGCTGGAAAAACTACTGATCCAGCAGAAAACCCTAATGGTGATACTAAACCATATTCCATGGAAACACCAAATGTCGAAACCAATAAGCACCCCAAATGATGTTGCTAAGACATTTTTAGTTTCTTACAGTTTACAAGAGTGCAGATGATGATTAGGAATTCCATTTATAATATAATGGGGTTATAATCATTTCACCAATCCACAGAACAACATGCATTAACACCTTTAGCTGAAGAAGCTAGGATATCTGAGTCTAATGTAGCTTAACTTGCCATTATCAATTTGTTATTTTAAAAACAATATAAGCTTAGTGTGTGTACTGTATGGCATAAGGTATGAGGTTGGCAGGGGATGTTAGTTAAACAGTATTAGTCTCTTGTAGTTAGGAATAGTGCCAACCCAAGTCCCTATGAAACATTCGAAGAAGTTTCTCATCTCTTCCTTCAACTCAGGTAAATCATCACCAACCTACAACCTTCTTGCCTCGGAGCTTAAGATAATAACAAGTTTTTCCAGTTTTCTTTTGCCTATTTGGTTCTAATTAAACATACCGAAGTCAATTGGTACAACTACTCCACAGAACATGCTCCGTCCAGAAGCAGACTTCTCAAATATTAAAGAAATGGAATATGGCCAAGATCCAAAATGACTTACTCCCCAAGTAATTAGGTATACAAGGTTTTTCAACTATTTTACTAATTTATCATTTCTGTCTTTTCTACTTAACTTGGGATGTTAAAGTTCATTACTTATAATCTGTTTTTTTTTTTTCCCTAAACAAAAGACAAGAAAATTGGTAAGACAGCCAGCTAACACAGGCAAGTAATTGTGATTTGCTTGTTTGGAGCTGATTCAATTCAACCACTCTGGATATATAAAAAAACCTACCCATCGTTTTCCTCTAGAACCTCTTCATGGTTTTCTTGAAAAGTTGATGGGAAGAAGAGTTGGACAAGATCTAGATTTGGACCATATATGTTCAGTTATCGTCATCCCTTACGTTATCATGATAAGGTCTTAAGTAATCAATTAAGCAAGATTGTGTTGTCTGAAATATATTTAATTATTCATGCTCAAATTAATTTTGAAGCAACCTGCTGCAAGTAAGAGAATTGATAAAGTATAAATTATTTTACTCTATCATTATCTATCAAGTTGTATGGTATACTTTTGCAGAAGTATCTTAACAAGTAAGAATTTAAAATTTGAAATTAAAAAATTTATATTTAAACTTTAAGATGAGTAAAGATAGATTTGGAAAATATATATAAATATTATATAGCAATTTATTGTAAAAAGCTGGTACATAAAGTAATATAGGGCAATTTTTGACATAGCTGAACAGAGAGTATTAAGATACAATTGAGGAATGCCTATAATTTGTATACAAGGATTTATCATTTTACCCAAAAAGAGAGATTTCTGTGGAAAAAGCTAGGTTGAAGCACTGGTGTGAAGTGATACTAAGGAGGCATAGAAACCATCTTTGATATTTAGGAGGGTCTCATGCTTTCCTTTCTCTACTATAACTCCATTTTTTACCACAGCTATAACATCTGCATTCTTGATGGTGGACAATCGATGAGCAATCACAACTGTGGTGCGATTAACCATGACTCGGTCTAGTGCGTCTTGAACCACTCGCTCAGATTCAGCATCTAAGGCACTTGTGGCCTCATCTAGTAGTAAAATCTTTGGACTCTTAACAATGGCACGTGCAATGGCTACACGTTGTTTTTGCCCACCTGATAACTGAAGTCCTCGCTCTCCTACTATGGTGTCATAACCCTGCATTATGGAACATGTTAGTTTTAACTACTATAAAGTGTCTAAACTTAGTTACAAGGTTTTAGGACAACGCTTTTGAGTGCCCTAACCTGTTGTAGCGCACTGACAAATCTTTGGGCATTAGCCAACTCCGCTGCAGCTAAAATTTCAGCCTCGGTTGCATTCCCTTCCTTTCCATATGCAATGTTGGCTCGGACTGTGTCATTAAACAAAACTGGTTCTTGGCTCACAAGTCCCATTTGTTGCCTCAACCACTTTAACTGGAGCGTTTGGATTTCAACACCATCTAGAGTGATAGAACCTGAATCAGGGTCATAAAATCTCTGCAGTAGTGAGATAACAGTTGATTTTCCGCTTCCACTTTCTCCAACCAGAGCAACAGTCTGAAAAAAGACATTGACATCAAAATGCTTCAAATAACCTTTTCTAGATTTCCTTATTTTCAGCTCATTGCTTCAATAAAACTGAGTCTAAAGTTGAAGTTATTGTTTACCTTGCCAGCACGTATAGACAAGCTCAAATCTAGAAAAATCTGAACATCTGGCCTCAGTGGATACTTAAAGCTCACATGACGAAGCTCCATATCTCCCTTCACATTGTCTAATATGGTCCCTGACTCATCACTTGGGTCTATTGTAGATTTTCGGTCAATAATTGCAAATATGGAAGCAGCAGCTATCTTGGCCTTACTGGAATCAGGAGCAAAGGCACTTGATTGAGTAATTCCCATAGCTGCCATGGTCAAAGCAAAGAAAACCTGTAAAGTCAAAAGAACAAAGGCTTAAGACCCCTTGAAGAGTTAGGTATAACTACTAGGAAATCTTGAAAAATTGTAAGCGAAACTTAAACTGGGTGATATACTCACTTGAAAAACATCCGCGAATGTTGCCTTTCCATGCTTAACTAGTTGAGCTCCTACATAAAAACTAGTTGCATAAACAGAAAAAAGTAAGAAGAAAGAAAGTCCAAATCCTGCTCCACTAATCAATCCCTGCTTTATCCCGGTTTTTAGAGGGCCTTCACATTTCTGTCTATATAGATCCATCACTTTCTCCTCAGCACAAAAAGAAGCAACTGTTCTTATACTCCCCACTGCATCATTAGCAACTTGGCTTGCTTCCTCATACATCACCTACATTCAATTTATAATCTCAATAATTCATGAATAATGTATAAATATGATAATTTATAGATATCATTAGTTAAAGAATTATACCTTTGCATCTGCACTGAACCCTTTTATGAACTTTATTTGAATGAGTCCATTAATCCCTATCATAGGAAGTAGTGCAAGGACAATGAAAGCCAATTGCCAACTTGCAGTGAAAGCAATAACCAAACCAGCAACTGCTGATGCAATATTTTGAGTCAGTAAACCTAGCGCCTCTCCAACTAGAGCATGCACTATTGATGCATCAGCTGAGAGCCTTGCACCTATTGAACCGCTTGAGTGTGCAGGTTTGTCAAACCAACCAACCTCCATATGAACCACTTTCTCAAAACACATTGACCTCACTCGTTGGATTAATTTACATCCGGCCACAGCAAAGAGGTACGTTCTTGCTGGATGTGCCAATATTGTTGCTACACCAAGGGCCACATATATTAGTGCCCAAATTCTTACATCCTTCTTTAGTTCAGGAGGTGGTTCATAGAATGTCTTGATTACTTTTGAGATTAGCGTACCAAAAAGGGGAAATATCACTCCATTGACAGCTGCAGCTATGGTTCCAAGTATAAGAACTGGAATCTCTGGCTTGTTGAGAGCAGCAAGACGACTGAGTGGGACAGGAGGGTGTTCTTTTGGTGATGTCGAAAGGGTTTCTTCATCTGTCATTGTAGTATCAATAATACTTACCCCAGCTGGTAAGCCAAAAGAAAGCGATAATGAGTGATGGCTGCTGTGTCCCAAGGATGATCCTCGACTGATTGACCGCCTTAATGATCTCATGCTTGATTGTCTAAATGATTCTGAAGTAATCTCTGATTTGCTTTTGTTCTCTGTTGCCTGAATTGAATCTTTATTTACTTCTTGTAAACGAATAAGCTGAGAGTAAGCTCCATCGGGATCCTTTAGTAGTTTTGCATGTGTTCCTGTTCAACAGATAAGCATGTTATCACCTGTCAAAATATGATGTTGTGTGTCTGATAATGGAACTGCTGCAAAGAACACATCTCTTTTTGATAAAGCACTCAAGAATAAGTTAGCAATTTTTTAAATCTATTTCATGATTTGGAGGGCATCTACAACTGATTCCATTAATATAGGCATTATCATATACTTCAATGATTCACTAGTCAAACATCAAGGAAAAACACTCAAATTAGGACAACAAATTTAATTTTATTGCATGCAAATTTAGGATGTGCTTATTGGTATAATTTGAAGGTACCTTTTTCAACCATCTTTCCTCGATGAATGACAGCAATCATATCTGCATTTTTGATAGTGCTCAAACGATGAGCAACAATCACAGTGGTTCGATTGACCATAACCCTATCTAATGCCTCTTGCACTATCCTCTCAGATTCTGCATCTAGTGCACTTGTAGCTTCATCTAAAAGCAAAATCCGCGGGTCTTTGAGAATTGCTCTTGCTATTGCCACTCTCTGCTTTTGTCCACCAGAAAGCTGTGCGCCATGCTCACCAACCATAGTGTCAAGTCCCTACATACAAAAATTCAGAGTTAAAATGTAAATCTCCGAGTTATATGGCCATAAAATGAGGAATGATCTATAAGAAAATACTCAACAAGACCAATAGATTAAAACCTGAGGTAGTTTGTCTATGAATTTGGAAGCGTTTGCAAGTTCAGCGGCAGCTCTAATCTCTTCAATTGTTGCACCTTCCTTTCCATACGCAATATTATCTTTGATACTACCAGTAAACAACACAGGTTCCTGGCTGACGAGACCAATCTTTCCTCTTATCCATTTTAGCTGAAACTCCTTGAGATTAATGCCATCAATAAGAACTTCACCAGCTTGTGGATCATAAAATCTCTCTAATAGACTGATCACTGTTGATTTTCCACTTCCACTTTGTCCGACCAGGGCAGCTGTTGTGCCACTTGGAATGAAAAGAGAGAATCCACTAAATATTTGCTCATCAGGTCTGGCAGGGTAACTGAAATAAACATCCTTCAGCTCTATGTCCCCACGAACATCTTCCAATACTTTCCCCCTTTTGTCATAAGAATCTATTGCAGGCTTCCTTTCAATAGTCTCAAACATCTTGCAAGCTGCAGCTTGACCAGCTGCAAATGCATTCATGCAAGGAGATGCCTGCCCGAGAGACCTGTAAATCAACAAGAACAAGAGAGTGGAATGAGTCATGGTTTTCTTTAGCTTATACATGTGGAAGTTAAACATTCAAGATTTGACTCACATGGAACCAGTTAAAACAGCGACAATCACATTAAGCACTTGACCACCAGTATATCCTTTCTCCAAAATCATTTTCCCACCAAACCAGACAGCCAGACCATAAGTGCAGAAAAAGATGAACATAAGTGTACCAAGACCAAGACCACCAATAAAACCTTCAAAAACACCTGATTTGTAAGCAGTAACAAGAAACTTATTATAGTCACGTATGGCTTTCTTCTCTCCAGTGAAAGACGCGACCTACCAAATAATCAGGTAAAAATAAAAAATCAATACATCGTCTTCATTGTATTTCTAAATATTGAACATGCTGTTCTGATTGTCTGCTTTTCGGCGAAGAAAAACATACCGTTCTGATAGAACCAATTGTCTGTTCAACTACAATTGCTGCTTTTGCATAAGCATTTTGTCCACGGGATGCCATCTTGGAAAGCATGAGGGCCATGGTTCCACCAGCTGTGACAAGAAGAGGGATAGAAGATAACATGACGAGTGCAAGAAGCCATCCCTTGACAAATGCAATTATAAAACCCCCAATGAATGTTGATACCAGCTGGATGAATTTCCCAACCTGGAAAACAGAAGCACACATATAAACCATAGCTCGAGGCTTACATCTTCCAGATTAAAGCAACTCAACTTGTCTTTCCATACCTTCTCACCCATGGCATCTTGTATGAGAACAGTGTCACCGGACATCCTCCCCACAACCTCTCCGGTGTTTGTGTCCACATCAAAGAAAGTAACATCTTGTCTCAGTATGGTCTTCAAGTACAAGCTCCTTATCCTAGCAGCCTGTCTTTCCCCTGTGATCATCCAGCAAGTTACCTCTGCCAAAAACAGGAAAAGGATGTTGAGCATATTACTTGAAATACTTCAGTATACAACAAGAAATATCACAGAGATTCTTCATATCCGAAACTACTCACGGGTAAATGCTGCAACAGCAGTCCCCACTGCCAGGTACACAAATTGCAAAGCGACCTGAAAATTTTCCAGGAAACCATAAATCTAATATATCAAAAGAGCTAACTTCAATAACTGAATTATTTAGATGGAGAGTAATTAATGCATAATCAAAATGTAATAACTAGGTTCCTCCTTCGTGATTACCTTAGAGACCACATGAACAACCTGGCCGTTGTTCTGGTTCAGCCCAAAAGAGTCAATGAGTTTTCCCATCAGTATGGTCATAAGGGGCATTCCTAAACCGTTTGCAACGGCTCCAATTGTACCGGCAATCATTAAGAAATAATCGGTTGAATCTGCAAAAGAGAACAGCTTGTATAATGGAACCGTGTTGGTTTTCTCATTGACTTTGCTGCTCTTCTCCGATTCTTGATTTTCCCCATTTGCTCCAGTGCCTTTTCCGGTATCCTCCTGGCTACTTAATGTGCTGGCCTCTTGTAACCGTGTCTCCCCATTTGGGGCATTCTCCACGGCCATTGCCGAGCTCCAACCTCTTAATCTAGAAAGAATAATCAATGGCCAAAATCAGCGACTTATAAGAAAATCCAGTATATACCATCCAAAGGGTAGTTGACAAACTTCCAGCTAAGATCATTCGTGACAATAGGAAATGTTTTTTTTTTTAGTATTTTTTAACTCAATTTGGGGAAGGCTGTTTGATGATTCAGCAGTTAGTAGGCATTAACCAACAGAGGCAAACATTAAAAAATTTAAACTCTGAGTCTGAGCCCAAGCCTTAATAGCTTCTCTTTCAATTCCCCAGATTAGATTTACTGCAAAGAGAATCTAGACTGTGGGAAGTGTAAATTTAGCACCTTTTTCAAGAACAAGATTAAAAACCCAGAAATGGAGTTGAAAAGGGATACTTTAAGTAAAAGGGACAGAAACTTTTTTCTCTGCCATTAAGAGAGCAAAATCTCGGCAATAACAACAACCCAAACCCACACATCCATTTAACCAAAGAGCTCAACTTTCCGATCAAAAACTTCAACTTTGTTGTAATGAATGACTTTCCATCAAAACCCGGATGCCAAAAATCCAAAATTTGCAAAGAGAGAAACAAAAACAAAAAGGGTCGGTCATAAAAAATGAACTCATGATGCAGAAGGACATACTTGCAGAAAAGATGAAAATGGCTGTTGAAAATTAGAAAAGAGCAACCCCTCTTCTGCTTTCTTATCTAATTGTATCGACTCCTGAGCTGCTTTAAAAACAAGCTCACATCCTTGATGAACAAGTATCTGAATTACCGTCCAATAATCCAAAACCTACGGCCCGGTCAAAAAGAAAAAAAAAAAAAATCCCAATTGCTTAATATTAAAATTAATGCATCTTATTGGGTAAAAGTAAACATATTATTGTTTGTTAATAAAAGAAAACCAAATTCTGGATAAACAAGGCTTCGTGAAGAAGGGGGAACGGTTTTTCAGTCGTTTCTGCTGGCTGTGTATACCGAGTGGGTTATCAGCGCAGTTTAAATAGTAAATATTATATTTTTTAATGTGGTTATTTATTATATTTTTTAAACAAATTTATATATTTTTAATAAATTAAAAAATATAATAATTAATTAAAATAAAAAATATGATATTAATAATTGAGGTTGCAGTAGTTTCTGCTGGCTGTGTATACCGAGTGGGTTATCAGCGCAGTTTATTATATTTTTTAATGTGGTTATTTATTATATTTTTTAAACAAATTTATATATTTTTAATAAATTAAAAAATATGATAATTAATTAAAATAAAAAATATGATATTAATAATTGAGGTTGTAGTAATAATATCACCATATATTCTATTGTTGCTTATTTAGTTGAGAGTGCCACGTGAAGATCATAAATTAGGTGGCAGGTACAGACATATAGTAAGATTTAAGAAACGGAACAAAGTTAAACCTGTAGGGAAGAAAAGGAAAGGCCGTCTGATTTTCCTCAGATCTTGAAAATCTTTACTTTCGGAGTAGCTTTCTTGCATTAACTAATTGATTTATGCAGATTTTGACCTTGAAGCTGGAAACGGGTACAGCGCTACCAGGATTTTTTAGAATTTAATATTTAGATAATTATATAAAAATAATTTTTTTTATAATTTTTTATATAATTTTTATATATCATTAAATAAATAAATACTTTAATATAATAGTAACTAAATAAATAATAAATAAAATTATACAAAAAAATATATTAAAAAATTGTTTTTAAATTATTTTTCTTAATATTTTTTCAGTGTTGAAAGAAATTGCCTTTTAAAATTTGTCAACGGATCTCGTATCTTAGCACTTAATGATGAAGAAATATAGAGGTAAAGCTTTACTTTTCTTTTTCAAACATCCCAAATTTCCTCCTTGGTGTGTTTACTGTGAAAGGACGGCGATTTTCGTGTTTGAAAATAGGCAAAACACTCTTTTAAGCTCCCAAACTTACCCTAAATTAGCAAGTGAGCCCCTAAACGAAAAATAATGCAAATTAACCCTCAAACCCCTTAAATGATGAAAATCAACCATCATTATTAACTGCCCAACACATTTGACCTCACATTGTCTATTCATTAATGGCCCTACTTTACCAACAACCTATTCGTCCTTTCTTAAACAAGTTCTTGAGTTTGAGTCTTGTGAATGAAGAAACAGATATTAGGAGAGCTTTCCTTTTATGGGATCCGACGCGGTTCAATTCTGGATTAATTGAAACTTAATGTAATTACAAATACGAGAAGGTTAATACAAAATAATAATAATAATAATAATAATAATAATAATAATAA